TTTGCTCCTTGTTGCTTGGAGACTGCCACGGGACAGGAACAAGCAGGTCACCTGGGGACTGTCAAAAATCAAGAGCTTGAGGGCCCTCGCTGGTGGCACAGTGGGTTAAAGTGCAGCACTAAGAAGCGAAAGCCACTTCAGCTTGAGTTCGATCCCCGCCTGGGAGGTGACCCACATGGCGCAGCAGACCTCTCCTAACCCACCCGCTGCTCCCCTCAGCAGTGTATTTCACCCTGTTCTGCTCCCCACTGTCTCTGGTGAATCCTCTCACCCCCTGCACCTCTGGCTTGTACCCCAGTTCTGTATGCATAAATAAATATTAAAAAAAGATCAAGAGCTTGAGGCCCCACATCAGACTCTACAGAGTCAGAATCTGAATTTTTAACAAGATCTTCAGGCGCCCTGTGTATTTCTTCCTTCTATACCAGACCCTGCTACTGACCATTCCACGCAGCCTTTACGCTTCTTAAAATCACTACAAAAAGCTTTTATCACAGCATGGTTGTCAGAGAGAAAGTTGTCTGGTGATCCATTTTCCTTCTTTTGTTTGCCAGTGTCATCAGTTAATTGCCTTATTGAACATCTCCAAACATGGCCTTTTTTTTTTTTAATACACATCAGAAAAACAGATTTATGGGATTTTTTTGCAGAGGCAAATAAGCTGATTTCCAAAATTGGTCTCCTCTTACAACTCATTCTTGCATAAATATTATGACAAGTACAAAAATCAGGTTGTAACACAATAGCAGAAGAAGAAACCCCACTCGTGACTGAAGGGTCAGCAACACAGAAACCGAGAACTGGGCTGAGGGCTGGTCCGTGCGGCCACTGGCTGTGGGTCACTCATCCTTCCTGGGCCTCAGCTGCCTCACCTGGGAGATGAAACTGCTGAGCTGGCTGCTAGGGTTATTATGTCGATGACATAATAATGTCGTGAGCTGCAGTACTGCCAACGAGAGCTTGGAAACCTAAAATCCCTTAATCCACTACATTGACCCTCCCTGCTGCTCCCACGGTTTGTGTGAACTACCAGAGAAAGCACAGGCTGCTGGAATCCAGGGTCTAAAGGCTAAACAGATGAATGGACATGCAACCTCCGGGGGCAGGCAGGTGTGGGCCGGCAGAGTGGAGAGCTCCTTCTCCCCGTGAACAGCTGGCAGGCAGGCCTGCTGCTCCAGGATCACAGAGGCAGGCTGCTTACCCACATGCAATTAGGTGTGAAGACGGTAAATCTAAAAATAGCCTGAGCTCAGCCAGAGAGGTGAAAGCTGTCAATGGCTTTCCACTCAGCTGTCAGGATGACAGGGAGGGGAGTTACTATAGCAACAGAAAAGTGAACACCTAGAAAAAGGTCTTGCGAAGTTGACAGGAAAAGTTGAGAATTAATAAAACATCTATTTTCAATTCCTGTCTCTCAGTCTTTGAATTCAAACAGTTCAGTTTTGTGGAGGTAATAAAATTAGATTTTTGGTAGACTTTTCATAAAACAAATATTCTTTCAGTCTTGGGTTCCAGAGCCATAATGAATTATTGCTACTTGTCCATTTCATTCCTCTATAATTAAAGGACCATTTGGACAAATGCCTTTATATAACTTTTAACGAGTAGGCTTTTCATGGTATTTGCTCTATCAGTTATAAAAATCATCTTGAACTGTACCTGACATTTTAAGATATTATTAAATGTCTGAAGAAAGTAGGGTGATGTGAAATTATCTTGAAATGAAAGGGACTCAGTGTAAATAATTAGCAAGACGAATGGCTACTGAGAACTGTCTTCTCTGAGTTCTCAGTTTCTGAGACACTTCTCAGTCAACCCCAGGGCCTGTGGCCCAGCGTGTGGTGAAGGCAGCTTGGCGGGTCTCAAGTGCAGACGCATCTTTCACTTCCGAGAAAGTTAACCTTGCTCAAAGACTTCACACATCTTAGGACCAGCACATCAAACGCCCCAGCATCTTTTCCCGCCATTTGATAAAGGCGCCTTCCATTCACTGTTGGGAACGCCGGACTGGCCCTGTCCAGCCACTAACTAGTTGTGGGGCCGAGACAGGCTGCCCCAGCCTGTGGTCATAGCTGGGCGAGTGTCAGGAAATTGCCCGAGAAGGGACTGTTAAAGGGGCAAGGGGACATCTGGGTCAAATTCACCCTGTGGCCTGCTCTGTGCTGAGTCTTGGCAACAAACTGACAGGTGAAAACACTATCAGCAGCGGCTGAGCCTGGCCCACCCGCAGCTACAGGACGGTCTCTCCTCAGTACGACTCGAGCCACTGAGACAGCTGGGTTGGCTGCACGGGCCAGGTGCCAATGAAGTGCACTAAGGCAACCCACACGTTTTCTGTGACCACCTCGCATTTTCCAAACATGGAAGAGTATGTATTTAGGGAAGACCCCTTATAATCTTCTTTTCACCCAGGCAACCACTGTGAAGGATTATTTTCACCTCAAATATAAACTATTCTATCATTTGTTTTATTTTCGCATTTAATATCACTGACATCTCCTTAAGACAATAAATTATAAAGCAGTTTTAATCTTATAAAGATTGCATTACCACATTATAATCACGCACTTACTAATGGATACTTTCGGTCCAATTTTTGTTCTACTTTAATACTCAGGGAAAAAGAGAAACATCACTAGGAAAAAAAACTGGGGTATAATAATCCATTTTTAAGGGGATTATAGTCAAAAAGTAAATCAAGAACTTAAATTCATTTTCATTCAAATCTTTTTTTTTTTTAATATTTATTCATTTATGTATATAGAACTGGAGTGCAGGCCAGAGGTGCAGGGGCAGTGAGAGGATTCACCAGAGACAGAGTGGGGAGCAGAACAGGCCCACTGACGGAAGTACACTGCTGAGGGGAGCAGCAAGCCAGACAGGAGAGATCTGCGGGGGGTGGGGTGGGGGAGGTGTCACCTCCCTAGCTGGGGATCTAACTTGTGCTGAAGTGGCTGCTGCTGGCTTCCTAGTGCTGCGCTTTAACCTGTGGTTCCTCCAGGGAGGGCCCAGTGTGTTTTCAAATCTTTGCTTAGACTCAACATTGCCTACATAAGTGGGAACACACTTTTTAATAAGCCCCTGTTATAATATGCACATAAAATGAAACACATCTGTGGGCCCTGGGGCCAGGAATGCTTCTCAGCACCCCTCAGCCCCACTTAGAAAATGCAGGCCTGCTATTTATATGGCAAAAAGAGTCGACAGCTACATCATGGCATTCTGGTCGAAAGTGAAACTTACACACAAAAACAAATCTAGTTCTGCGGTCACATGAAAATTCACAGTTTGCAAGGGTTTTTCTTAAAGTGTTTCCCCCTTCCTTGCCATTAGAAAATTCTTTTAGTGCTGACTGAAAGACAAAACACCAGAGCAAAAGGTGTTTGAAAATTCCAAGACTTAAGTAAAGCTGCTTTAAAAGCTGCTATGTGGACCAAACAACATGGGCATTTTCTCTAAAGAAAATATGTTTTGTTTTACTTCGGTCAGTCCAGAATCAAGCACTGTGAAGGTCATGCCCAAAGCCAGAGAAGCAAATAGAGAGGAAAAAGAAAAAGGCACAGATGAGTACAGTCAAAATTATATTTAAATCATCAGCTAGAATTCGTTAGATAATTTATATTCGTTACTTATGTAAACCACCTCTCCATACTTCCTTCTGATGAATATGAAGGTGTGCGCCTAACAGATTCATGCAGATTTAGTCCTCTATGAATTCATAAAACTGTAAAGCAGCAAACAAAGTTTTGAGGGGGTGGAACTAGATGGACAAAGTCACAGTTCTTGCTGTAACGGGAGATTCTAGCCCTCCTTTGATCATCTGCCAAGGTTTCTCCTCTTGGGCCTCCCTCTGCTGAGGCGGCAGGGTAGAAAGAAACAAGACCAAGGCTACAAGAGGCCCCAGTCAGATGCCTGACAAGATGCTGGGAGCAGGCAGCTGCTTGGGCCAGCATCTCTTCAGATTCTTTGGAGAACACTGGTCACCTGCTAAAGGCCAGTTGGTTTAGGCCACAGCCAAATGCCAGTGGCTTTGGCCACATGCAGTCGACTCTGACCGTCTCTGCCGGAAGGAAGAGCCTCTGGACGCTCTTTGGCTTCCCCCTGTAGGTGGGCTATGCTGCATTTCACGCTGGGCCTGGTATCGCTACTTCCCCACACTCAGAGTAGCATCTGACCCTTTCCATGAGGGCCCAGGGCTTATTTTCCTCATTTACTCCCAAATGACAGGTGCAAGGCACTGGAGAGTGGAGAAAGCAAGATGTCCATTCGTGGACAGAAAAACACTAACAATATGCATTGCGGGAGCTCTTGCAGCATGGAGTTACTGAGCAATATATAAATGAGCCAGCGGAATACATCTCTAAGTCAAAATACGGCATTTCCACAAAGGCAGAGAGAGAGCCCAAAGCCCTCGTAGGGGGGGACCTGTGTGTGACTCACTTGCAAAATGAACTTCTAACCAGGACCTTTCTTAGGAGATAAGCACAGACCAAAGAAAAGGGCACATGATCCCGACAATGCACTTCAGCCGGGAGGCAAAAAGCATGTATTTAAAACGTGAACAAACACGATGAAAATAACAATCACATTGGTGATGGTACACAGGTTGGCACAATGGCCAAGCTGTTTCCACACAACTGTTCGTGGTGAAACTCGGCGATGCATTTAGGTTGGAGGGAGCTGTATTTACCAGGGGCAGTGTAGAAGTTAAGATTTGAAAACCATGGGGAGATGATTAGATTCTGACTCTTCTTACTAGTGAGATCCATAGTGACATCACTCAATTTTGAATTCTGCTCTATTTGCTGATGACATAATTCAGGGAAATTTGGTCAGTCTCCCCGACTTCCACTTATCTCACTTGTACAATGGGGATGTTAGTAGCACTTGTACTGCAGCGCTGTGGTGAGGGTGGTGGGAGATGATTCTAGACACAGGATCTAGACATGATGCTGTTAGTGCCGTCACTAACTACTCCCAGGGCAAAGCAGCTCACTCACCCAGGTGTGTGTCCATCACCTTTGCACAGTATTTGCACATGGCATCCAGGTCATTCAATTGCCCTTGAAGGAAGGAAATTTGAGCTTCTAATTCTTCTTCCTGAAATTAAGGGGGTAAAGAAATGGAAATTAAAAAAAAATCACATAAAACCCTCAAAGGTCTCCAAACGATCTAGAATATTTTAAAAAGGCATCAGTGTCTTGTCAGTCCTAGGAAAAAAAAAAAAAAAGAAACAGCAAATAAACATAAGCAGATTCACTATTGACATTATTAACAAAATAGGGTAAAAATGGATGTTTTAAACAGCTGAAATTTTCCTGGCTAAAGGGCAGTTTTGAGCCATGTGTAAATGTTTACCCACATAACCTTGGACTAAAAAATTACATAACGTATTTTCAAAAAATATTCACACAAATTGGGAGGGTAAATTGGATTTCAATGGACCATACTCATTAGTCACCTGGTACAGAAACAGTACATTTTCTCTCAGACCAAAGTTTGGGAAACCAAAGACATCCATTCGTGCAGACAAATCCCATTATTTCAAGATGAGGATAAAGTCGTAACAAGCCATGTTTCCCAAAGCTCTTGGAGAAGCTTTGCCCCCAAAGCCCACAAAGAGTACTTCTATTTCCTCTCTTACGACACCGGAGTTTTTTTTATTTATTTGACTGTTTCTAGGAAAAAAAAAAACAACAAACTTGGAGTTGAGTAATTAAATGGCAAAAGACAACCTAGGATAAATTGTTTTTCCTTTTTTTTTCTCCAAATAAAAAAACACGCAAAAAAAAACTTCCCCAGGAATTTAGGTTATGAAAGTTTTTCTCAGAGAAAGAGTAATCCTTATCACAGAGGCTATTTTAAACCCACTTAGCTAGAACACAAGTAAAGAACTGTAAACAGACTAGAAAAATGACGTTTTTCGATGCTTGCCCTTTTAACGACGAATCTTCCGTGTCACTAAAAGGAAGGGAAGACTTGTCAAGAGATAATTTTTTCTTAGAGACTTGACCTACTGGTGGAAATGAACAGCCAAAAGAGTGACTTTCAGGGATACTGCGTTCTACCAACACACATAGAAAGCACTGTTTTTAACAGCTGTCAGGAGGAGGAACCCGAAGCATCTGCATTTAAATGCTTGACATAGAAAAGACATAGCAGTAGCTGTAAAAACAAATTACTGTGCAGCGCCCACTGTCGATACACCAGCATATCCACCTCTCTCGGCACCACAAAGCACTCAGCTTCTCCTCTGACACTCACACGAGCGCACCAGAGCTCGGGCAAGGGACAAGCCCAGCCGTCTGGGGGGCAAGGATGCCCCCTTTCTAACTTTTCAGCTGGTGGAAAAAAGGATGGGGTATTTTGGGTCATTTTTCTTCTTTTTCCCCTTTGTTTCTGCAGAAGTGAGAAGGCTGTGTCACAACAATGCAGGGTCTAGAGGGAGGCTGAGATATCTGTGGGTGAACTATTGTGGGGTCTCCAAAGATGGCCGCCACCGCTTCCCTCTCTCCCCCTGAGTGCATGCGCTTCACTCTAAGAGGCTCAAGCCATGTGCCCTCCCCCTAAGCTGGGGCTGGCCTTGTGAGGTCTTCACCCAGAGAATGCAGCAGGAGTCCAACTGTCATGGTCCTGACGACTCCTGTCTCCGCTGGAGCAGACAGCTACTGGTGGTAGCTTGGGTGAGGCTATGAAGGAGGGGATCGAGCACAGGGGAGCCAGGGCCTGCGCAGGTACAGTGAGATTCCAAACCTGTGAATGAAGTGTGTCCGGACCTTTCCGCCCTGCGTAACTGATGCTGGCCAAGTGAGTGACCCTGGTCAACACACAGAACAGAGATGTCCTGGGGACCGAACAGCTTAGTCAAGCCTTGTTCCCATGCCTGCCCCAGAAACCATTGGGAATAGAGTTGTTTCCAGGAGTGGAATTTTAGAGTGGTGTGTTCTGCAGCCACAGGTAACTGAAATGGTGGTGGGCTGGAAAGGACACTAGATTGAGATAGACTGTGAGGAAATTTAAATTCTATTTCGGGTCCTGTCATTAACAATAAATCATGTAACCTTAAGTAACCCGCTACCTAATCTGGGTCTAAATTCAGCACTCTCTGGAGAAGATGAAAGTCAGACACTTCACTCCCAGAGGGCTTCCAGGCCGGTGGCTAGAATACAAAAAGCACATAAATTACTAGTGTATGCAGCAGAGTAGATCAAGTCTTATAATGAGATAAGAAAAACTGCTTGGAGTCCTGGTCCCTGGTACTCATCCTTTCTACCGAACAAGTCACTGTTTGCAGTGTGTGACAGGCTAGCTCAGGAGGGAGGCCACCGTGTGGTGATCTTTAAAAAGAAGGGGCCCTCGGCCCTCCCTGGTGGCACAGCCGGTTAAAGCACAGCATTGAGAAGCTAAAACCACTTCCGCATGAGTTCGATTCCCGCCTGCCCCGGGGGAGACCACATGGCGTGGCAGACCTCTCCTGACCCGCCCGCTGCTCCCCTCAGCAGTGTACTTCGTAGATCTGCCTGTTCTGCTCCCCACTCTGTCTCTGGTGAAGCCTCTCACCACCCCTGACCCTCTGGCCTGTACCCCAGCTCTGTATGCACAAATAAATAAATCTTTAAAAAAAAAAAAAAAAAGGGGCCCAGCTGTGGCTTGAGCCCTGTGGCTACTGCCTGGGGTGCTTTGCAGTTCCAAGAGGACAGGTGCCCTGGAGTGTGAGGCCTCCCCGCCTCTCTGTTTACTGGGTGCCTTAGTTTAACTTGAATGAAGCAAACATGTTTTCTAAAAATGCAAAACCTTTAGAAAGCCTTAGCCCCCAGCAGTCATTCCTGTCTACATGAATTTATTTTCTTGTTTGTTTGCCTTTGTGAAGTTTGAAGAGAAGAACTCGAGCAGATACTTTAGAAGAGATGGCCCCAGCTGGACCACCTGAGAGCAGCTTGAACCTGAAAGTGCCTCTCTCCCTCTCAACACTTACTGTGTTGGAGGAACGTGACTGTAATAAAAGCGGGTTCACTGGGCCCGCCACTGTGCAGTGCAGGCTTTGCACCCGCGTATGGTCAGCCCTGAGGCCATGGCAGCACGCAGTGCCTCCTGGGATAGCAGAACATAGCTTTCCCAGTCCGCAATTTTGCTTAGCAGGTGAAGAGCATCTTGCTTGCCTAAATCCCAAGTAAACCTCAAAACACATGGAATCTACACTGTGGGAATGGCTCAGTTCATTCATTTAAACTTTTTCAATTTTTCAAGGTACGCTCACACAAAAGCTCAATGTAAGAGGCAAAGAGAGGATACTGGTTAAGACAGGTTGAGGGTTCTCTTCCATTGGGAAGTCTGAAACACAGAGTTTGCTTAATCTTAAAACATTCCTTAACCCTTCAACTATCACTCAGAGTTTATAAATAGATATGGAATCACTTGGAGGCAAAAGGGTGTCTTGTCTTTTAATCTCCACCATGTTATGTAATTACAGATGAAAACACAGAGCCAAGAATCAAGCTTCTAAAACTGTGGAAACTGACTTTACATTTCTATCTTAGCTTATGTTCCACACTCCTCCCAACTAACATGCTTAAACACTGACAGCTTTTAGTCATTTGTTTTCATTAAATTGGTTCTCTGTAATAAAAAAACAAATGCTTGGCTAATTGCCTTGAGGTTTTAGGAAAACAACCAGTTAGTGTCATTTTTATGTGTAAATAAGATACTGAGAAGAAATGCGTATTATATTTAGTTTTGCACGCATGTCCTGCCTGCCTTTACGGGGGGAGTGGGCCAGGATGGAATGCTGAAATACACACGCTACGGTTCCGGTCCTCTTTCTGCCTATTACCAGCTGGCTAAGTGTGGACCAGCTCCTTACATTCCAAGTCTCCTCACCTCCACCTGGAAGAATGGTGAGGAGAAAAAAATGAGAACACAGGGATGCATAATAGTAGGTACTTACTAAGGGCAATTACTTATCCTTTAAGCAAATGTTCATAATAAGGTCAAGAGTGAAGTGAATTTTAAGTGCGGGGTGTTATGATGTACTGTTGGAAAGCTCTAGTATCAGACTTATAAGCCTTTATGTAGCTTAGTCCAGAATGACTAATTTGGCATACGTGCTCACCACTGTCTGACGTTCTGGACAGTGAACTGGTGCGCAAGGTCAGAATCGGACAGAAGATTATGAAGAGGGGCCGTGAGCAAGCCACTGAAAGCCACATGAGCAAGCCACTGAAAGCCACACATCACCAGAGACATTGGGCCGCCTATAGGAAGGACCGGAGGAAGAAGCTACTCGAATGGAAGAGAGTAATAGCTAGTCCCCAACCCTTTTATAGCCATGACAATATTCTAGACACCGAGCTTGGCATACATTAAGTCGCTGCACCCTCACAACGAACCTAGAGGTAAAGTCTCTCAATATGTCCTGCATAAAACGTGATCTCCACGCTTCACGCCATCGTCTCTGCAAGTGTAGCCGAGGTTTGGGCAGATTTTTGAGAACCCAAGACTCTCATCCACTGTTACTGCTTATACTTAAACTGCTTAACTCCTATGGTCTTTACAACCACTAGCCCTATAGCTCAGTTTCCTTTAAGAACGATTCATCAATTACAAAATTACTGCTAAGTCCCCAGCTGCTAAAATATCCAGGTAAGATGGATCGTGGTCAGTTTTGTTGTTCACAGGACAATATTTATTGCTTGTTAACTCTACCTGAGGGCATGTTTGTTTTTACAGTGTAGCCTTTCCACTGCGCTTCACCCTCCCCACCCCGATTAGCTGATGCATCATTTTGTTCCTTGTCAAATACATATCTCACTTATTTCAATGGTTTTACCACAAATGTATTTTATTTGTCAGTTTTGTTAAATGCTTCCATGCCTTTTGCTACTTCTTGGTTAACAGCGGAACAACATTTTGTAGTTTATTATTTATCCACTTATTCATTAATTTATTCAGCAAACATATTATATGTACTGGGGCAGGCTCTGGAGGCCGCACAACTAAGAGGAGATGTGATTCTGAGCGCCACAAGTTCAGAGGGAGTAACGCCTGTGCAGCAAGCCAAGAGAGGTGTGAGGCAATTTCTGTAGGAGATGAAAGCAGAACCT